AAGAGAACTGGACTCATAATCTGGGTGGGAACCGGGATTTGCACTAGAAACCCCAGGTGGTTCTGGGGTGAAGCCAGGTCAGGAAGCCACCATCTGACTCCATACAAGGCCACTGCATCTGGGCTTGTGTTTCCATCCCTTGTTTCGGGGGATGCTTCATTTCAGCCATAACGCAAGTTGCCTAAGAGCAGGGACCACACTCATGATGTCTGCACACATTCACGTGTGTGCACATACACATACACACATACGACGGTGCTGAGCACAGCACCAGGCCTGCAGAGGGCCTGAGGATGGGCATCATATCCATTGCAAGGGACCCTAGAGGCCACAGCCACCTGGGCCTTCTGCAGATGAAGTGGCTAGAAAATGAGGAGAAGCTCTGGAGCAGGTGAAGGAGCCCAGCCAGCTGCTCCTACTTCACAGGTGTGTGCACCTGGGCCTCCCTCCTTGCGCCTGATCAGCACGAAAGCTCACCACAGGCACACCTGGGGGTGACCTCACCTCTTCTTCTAGGTCCTACTGGTTAATGTTTTTTAAGGATCCGGAATGTATATCCAGATTTGCACAATAAAGCACAGGCTGGTAGGACATCCCCTGCCAGGGGTTATGTGGTCACAGGCTCTCATTCTGCATGTAGCCCTGAAGATTTTCACAGGTCACATTCCAGACCTTGGGGACCCCACCCTGAGAAGCAGCCTCTCTGAGCAGGGACCTGTCAGTCACAAGCCACATACAAAAAGAAATCTCTCAAGTGGCACTTTCCCCAAGAGTGAGCCCTAAGCAGAGGCAGGAGAGGATAACATGAGAAATGGGGAAAGAGCAAACCTTCTCTGAAAAGAGAGAGTTTAATGCCACTGCTGGGAGCTTTAAAAAATTAAAGCCATGCCCGTGATATCAGCACTTTGGGAGGCCTAGTCAGGAGGATCACTAGAGCCTATGAGTTTGAGAACATCCTGGCCAACATAGTGAGATCTTGTCTCAGTTTAAAAACATTTTTTTTTTTTAAACTAGCCAAGCATGGTGGCATGTGCCTGCAGTCCCAGCTACTTGGGAAGCTGAGTTGGGAGCACTGCTCCATCCTGCAAGGTGGAGGCTGCTGTGAGTCAAGATGGTGCCATTGTATTCCAGCCTGGGCAACCGAGTGAGAGACCGTGGCTTCAATGAACTAACTAGCTACCTGGAAACACAGAAACATTTTAAGCAAGAGACATTCTTCCCTTTTCCTCTAAGAACAGCCGTCACTGGGCCACTCTCCCCTTGAAAATCCAGAACTGGCAGAAGCAGCCAACAAGCAACCCAGAGTGCAGGTAAGCAAAGAGTCAGAAAGGGAAGCTGTCCAGACCTCAGGCAGCTGCCCCTCTCAGCCCACCTGGAACCACAGCCCACGTGCTGGCCTGCTAATGAAATAATAATGAAAACTACTCATATCTAACAAGAGAATTAGACCTCCAGATACAGGAGACAAATATCCCCAAAGAATGCAATGCAAAGGGTCTTTGCCATGGTAAACTACAGTCAGACCATCTGAAGTCCATGTGAAAATGCGAATATTAAAACCACCAAAAGAAAAGCATCTAGTCACCTGTAAAGCAACTCCATCAGATGAAGAGGGAATTTCTCAGTCAAAACCTTACTGACCAGAAGAAAGTATAATGATACATTAATGTACTGAGAAAAGTTAGTCAAGAATGGTATTTCCAACAAGGTTACCCTTTCCATAAATAAAGGAGAAACAAAGTCTTTCCTAGAAAAGCAAATACTGAGGCAATTCACCATGACTGAATCGGCCTTACAAAAAGTGCTGCAGGAAGTCCAAAATGTGGAATTTGAACTTAAGAGTGGTGATTTAGCATAAGTGCAGGAAAAGATTTTTAAGTAGCAAAGTATTCAAGAGGTGTCCTGGCTGCTTGTAACAGCCTAACTCAGATGTGGGAGCAGAGAAGTAACTTAAATATCAAATTTGTATTTAAACAGGAGGCAGAGCATAAAAGTTTGGAAAAATTTCAGCCAGGCCATGTGGCAGAGAAAGAAAAAGCTTTTTTTTTTTTTTTTTTTTTTTTTTTTTATTTAGGCTGTGGAGAAATAACTAGGTGGTGGAGCAATAACTTGCTGAGATTTCTGTAACTAAAAAGGAGCCAAGTGCTGATAGCAAAGGCAACGGCGAAAAGGCCTTGAAGGCATGTCAGAAAACTCAGAAGCAGCCCTTCCCATCCCAGGCCCTGAGGCCTAGAAGGAATGTAAT